AAAACTATATTCTTGCAATATTTATTATACAACGGAATCAAAAAATCCGAAACTCTGAATTTTGGAGATAAATGCTCGAAAGCGACCGATAGCGGTTGCAAAAATAAACGATTATTTGGTTATTTTTTAGAAAAATTGATTTGTAGGTTAATCGGTTTTTTAATTAATCGGTTAATTTCGATTAATCGTATATTTTTTATTTTTCAAAGTTAAGCGAATAATCGATTTTAAAGGAAATACGAAAAGAAAATCGATTGGTCGAAAATAACCAATTATTTTAAATAATCGATAATTCGGTAATTCGGTAATTTTTTAGGAAAAATCGATTTACCGGTTTTTTTAATTAATCGATTATTTTCGATTAATCGAATATATTCGTTTTTTCAAATATATTCGAATAATCGACTTTAAAGGAAATACGAAAAGAAAATGGATGAATTGAAAATAATCGATTGTTCTAAAATATTCGATTATTTTAAATAATCGATAATAATTCGGTAATTTTTTTTTAGAAAAATCGATTTATTGGTTTTTTAATTAATCGATTATTTTCGATTTTTCAAATATAATCGAATAATCGATTTTAAAGGAAATACGAAAAGAAAATCGATGCTTTGAAAATAATCAATTGATCGAAAATATTCGATTATTTTAAATAAATCGAAATATTATTTCGATAATCACCCAGCCCTAGCGACCGAATTACTTTTATTAGATTTAAATTTAAAAATGTTATCTGGTTTCAGAAATATGCATTTCTACAGTTTTATGTTACACATCCTCTATATTCAATATTCCTAAAGTAAAAAACTTGAATATAAATACCTTTTTCTGAGGTTCGATTTACTGTATTTGCCCACGGCACATGCTGCGAGTATAATACTCGTAGGCGAGTATCATTCCTTGCTCGATTAACAATATTCTATTTCAACATTTTATTGTAGTCTTTTGCAGAAAAGTCAGCAGTAAATAAACGCTAACGAAAGATTCTATAAAATATCTTCTGTCTTCTCTCTACATAAATTGCCGTTGCATCTGTTCGATATTAAAAAAATCACGTTAATTTTATTTCATAATACAACATTCCATTAAACATCTTTTAAGAAAATCTAATAGTTCATTGAGGTGTTAATAAACCAACACCGTCCCTGCCACAGAGTTCGGGTCTCCTCCCAGTTCCCCCACTCCGTTAACCTTTCTTTAGAAATTGGCAACATTCGCGCAGGTTAAACACCGTTATATGTTACATCTCTCGTCGCTTTAATCTTAGTTTAAAACAAATAACTGTCTTATTCTTAATTTATTGACAGTTACGGATAATACATAAGTTTAAAACACGATGAATGACAATTATTTGATGTAATTCATCGTGGTTTAAACTAATGGTTATGACGTAGCGATGTTCTTCAGGTTCTACACCAAACTTTTTCTTTGAAGTGTTATATTGTCCCCTATTTTTAAATGGAATCATATTTAAAATTACTTAAATAAAAAAAAAATAAAAAATATTAGTGATTATAAACCAGAGACCTACTTATATAGGAATTAAAAGTTACTATATAAACATTTATTAACAGTGATGTTCCTGAAATGGCGCTGGGAAACAGTAACAGTAACACGTGAACAAGAAGACAAACAAGAACTGAGACTGGCATATTAGGTATATACACATCGGCCATAAACGAAAAAAAAAAAATATATATAAATATTTAAAATAATTCTATACATATACTTATAGAAACGAAAATATGACAAAAAAATTAGTTTTGATAAATGTCACACTTTGAGTTGAGTAAATCTCCCATTTTTCACAAATGTTCCATTTCTCCATCCTTATTGTTATGGTTATAATTTGGAATTGACTCAACATAAGGCTATAAAAGGCACAACAGGCTGCTTTAAAAATTACAAGTATTTATTTTACATTTATTTTACAGTCTGGCAACGGTCTAAAGCAAGCACCATAGTTGTACGAGCTGGTTCATTCATAAAACGCGTGCTCACACCTCAGACAAACAAGCTCGCACAAACCATCCTCACTCAATTTAGTAGCTGTCTCGCTCTTTCTAATGCGGCAGCAGATGCGTCAGCTCTATCTTCCTAACATGAAACATAATCTGAATACTTGCAATAAATAAGGGATTAATTATGAATGAGTGAACTAGTCTAATTGGTTACCACATCATTTTTGTTAAATGTTATAAACAGGGAACTAGTTTCGGTCACCGTGAGCCATCAACAGTTGAAGTAAGGTAGAGTTATAGGACGAAGAAGAAAATATGTATAGAAGAAAAGTAAAAACCATCTATTAAATTATAAAAATAAAATATCAAATAGCACATCATTAAAAAGTATAGAGTAGCATCCCGTTTCAGCAGGTTTACTATTGTGTATCGATATTTGCGGTCAAGGCCGTCCGCTGTTAGTACTTGAATAAGTAACTATCCAAGGAAAGGTGGCTACGTATAAAAGCCCAAACAAACCGCCCGCGTAGTTGCATATCACAGCCGGTAGGATCAGTGAATACGATGTATAGAATGGGGTGTGCCATCTTTTCGAGGAGATGTAAAGTCGTCGGTCCCGAGTTCAAGGATGTTGGGCTCGTTAAAGATCCCTAGCTCTGGTTGCAACACCAGAGGATTCGGCAAAATTTCTGGTATCTGGGGGTAGTGTGCTCACCAGCGTCGGTGTTTAAACCTCGTAGTTGAAAATAGGCCGACTAAAAATAAAGACCTAACACAAATTTGCACAAATAAATAAAGAGTGATCCACAAAAAACGTCTCTAAATTAGGCCATGACCGACAAAGATATAAATACTTTAAACGAAGAAAATTACACTATGAAATATTTTTTTATGGATCACTCCATATATTACGTTTTTTATTGCATACTATGATTTTTTCCATGTTAAAAACGGCTTAAAAAATGTTTTTAGTCAGACTACACCAGTGGCTTTATAAACCTTCTAAATGGAATCAATATTTCTTAAAAAAATTAATTTTAGAATTAAGTTTCGTATATATTTGATGTAGATTTTAGACCAATTATAAAAATTGGCTAAAATAAGTATTTCAGTTTTTTGGCGACAATCGAAAACTATTTTTATTCTAGAGTTATAACTCCTTAAAATATAGAATTTTAAAGTAATTTTTTTATGTTTATATACTTTTTTATTGTGAATTTCTGTTTATTAATCTAACAAACAAAAACACCCTTTGCATCATTTTTTAAGAAGTTATACAGGGTATCTCATTAAACGAAACTTGCTTAAATAAAATATTACTGGTTTTCGAAATACATGGTTGAAAATTCAAAAATTATTAATGGCTATATAATTTTTTTATTTCTAGATATAAATTCATTAAATTCGGTAAACATTTTTGATATCATAAGAAATAAAAAATTACAGCCATTAATAATTTTTAAAATTTTAACTTTAACATCCTGTATTTCGGAAACCAGCAATATTTTATCAAAGCATGTTTCGTAATAGTATTATTTTTAATCACAGAATCTTAAGTTGTTCTTTGTCCCATTCTTAATGAGACACCCTGTATAAGTAACTGGAGAATAAAAAGAGTTATCGATTTTCACCAGAAAAATTAAATTGTGTTATACTTTTTATTGACAATGTTGCCAGTTTTCAGAGTTTGTCTAAAATCTACGTAACAAAATAATTTAATAAACAAATGTTACATGGATTTTAAAAATACCTACTTAAATATAACTATTTTAAAAATATTTTATTTTTAGAATGACCAACTTGGATTCAATTTAACCCTAGGTAATATTTTTGACTAAAATTACAAGGTGACCAGACTACATTTTTTTTAGAAAATAGAGAATAGGCCTTAAATAAAATTATATAACAGGTAGGTCTGGTAATGATTTAAAAAAAATGAGGTACATATTTAGAAGGTATTAAGCTGATGAATAGTGATAGAAATGGTTCAATTTATATCGATTGGTTTGAATCATGTCTTAAATGTGTCTAACCTTAAGTAAAATTTACTCAAATTTGCAATGGAAATACTTATTCAACAAAACCATCATTCTAGCCTATTTAAAAACATATTCGAGGAATTATATTTTTCTATCTTCTCTTTCTAAAATTAAAGCAGCATATGGAAATGCGACCGAAGGTTACATTGAACATTTCGTCGATAAGAAAAAGAAAATTGCAACAGAAATTTTGGCTGACCCAAGCACCCATTTAACTAACTACTAGCACTAGCAATAAAATATGCTTTTCATACGAAATTAATATCAGTAAAAATGAATAATTATTGAATAATAATATTCCTTATTCCTACAATATTTTTTCGTGTTATTAATGCTGACGCATTATACATTTCTTCACAAGTTGAGATATTTTAAATTTTTGGTAAGTAATGGAAAAAAAATTTTATATACTCGTTAAACAATTGGCGGCAAATATATGCTTCGATTTTGATACTATATAATATAGGTAGGTACCTACCTATAGGACCTATTAATATTTAAAATTATCCTAGAAGTTCAACATAGTGAGCGTTGGGTTGCACTTTGATTCTGAATTTTTTTGCACCAAATTAAGGATGACATTTGTGATGTACAATAAATAGATCATGAAAGTATCGTCATCCAAATTAAATGGGTGAGTAATTAAAACTAAAAGAATATTGTTTCATCTATTTTTTTAAGAATAACAAAAGTATTCCTACTTAGAGGTAGGTAGTTAGGTTCCGGTAACCTCTAAAATCACAGTAATACCTACCTATTCCAAAATATCACAAAACTACCCGCCGATGGATGGATAGATAGATAAATAGATTTATTTTCGCAACGTATTTTTGCAGAAACCCTAGGAATTTAGCTTTAGCAGGTAGTTCAATCCACTGTGTATCCACGATTCGTGGTTCGGGAATATTCGGCCCGAAGGACCAATAGTGATATCCGTCCGTTAGACACGAACGTAGAATACGGAAAACAGCATTCATTTCGTTCATTTCTTTCTAGCTATGCCTAAGCAAACTCGATTGTGGCATTGAATCGGAATCGCGCTATTTTAGTAATACGTGTTGTGTTTAGAAGTGTGGTGGGTGAAATAATTTTTATCAACATTTCCAAATGAATACATATATATGGCGTGGAGGATTCTTCAATTCGGCGCTCTGTTTGCAATAGGATATACTTTGGAGTCTAATTCAGATTCAGGTAGGCCCGTCATTGTTAATTTCCTCTCTAAAATATCGAAAACACATTCTGTTTGTGTATCAATATGGCGGTGTTTTGGTAGGGTATGGATTTAATGTTTATCTGTCGAAAAACGTTTCCTTATGAGATTTATTTACGTAATAGGTGTTTTTGAATTTCCTGAATGTCAAATATGCGGGTTATTGACAAACTTCTATTATAAGTGCTTCAGTTTTTGCTGTCACAACAAAAACATGATGTTGAATGGACTGTCACATTTTAGATTAGTTGTTTTGTTTACGTTGCACATTAGATCGAACCTAGATTTGCTTTTTTAGGGTTTATTGACTTTTTTTAATGTTTTTTTTTTCTCAAAACTACTAATTAATTCAATGATAAGTTTCTTTAATTTGACTCGTATCTAGCCAATTGGTTTCTTTATTGTTTAGAAATTGGTTATTTGAACACCTACAATTTATAAATGGTCGTATGCCATTACTATTAACTATAATTTTAGGTATATGTACCTAACCTACTTATTAAAAAATAGTTAAGTAATGTTTCATTAATAAATTGTTTATTATCTGTAATACTTCCGGTTCTCATGTATAAAATATTTGTATTATTTTAGGAACTGTTTACAGGGTGTGTTCTTTTTCAATTTAGTATAGGTACTCCCACACATTAGGTATTTCCAATGTGGGTTAATATTGATTAAAATTTCTTCTAAATTCTGGTTGGTGAGATATGTATCTTATACCTGTAGATGATATTTTTACTTGTAGTGTGAGAAACATTTTAACTAATTATTGTTACTGTACTTATATGTAGGTACCTAGGTAGATATCTTCTATGGAAAATTTTTATAGACTATTTACCAACTTGATTTAAAAATCAACTTCACAATATTTAGCTATTAACAGGGTTTTCTGAAATAAGGGAAAAATTCCTTCAAAAGCACCCTACTGTTAAATTAGGCAAGTAATGAACCTATTTCGGACAATGTAAAAAAATTAACCTCAAAATAATTAGTTACAGGGTGGTCCGAACTAAAGGAACAAACTCGTACATGAGAAACCCACTGTCAAATTACGAAAATGTAGCGTTTTTACTATATAAATAGTACAAATTTTATGTTTACAAAAATATACAAAGGACCCCGCAGTTTTCTTATGGCTGATATTCATAAACATTAAAAGTTACCTATGGTGTGACTCTCTAAGATAAGTACCTACCTATTTGTGACTACCAAAATACAATAGGTACCAAACTTTTTGAGAAACAACTATACATACCTATAGGGAGAGTAATTTTTTAGGTCAATGTCTAGTTTGAGCTCTTTTTGCTTATGAAAAAACTAAGCATACGTAATTGTAGGTACCTATCACTATTGTAAACAAAAAAACTTAGTTCCATGTCTTGTGCAAATTAATAATGACACAATTTATTTTTTTAAATAACAAATATTTCACAAATTGTCTCAAATCAAAGCTCAGAGATGTTACTTTTACGTCTTACACTGTTGCCAAGTCGCACAAAAAGTTTACCTTCCAACAAGCCTTCCAATTATTCATTATCAAAAATACAGCAATTCATTTCTAATAATTTTCCTTACCCTAACAATATTTTATAATATAACTATTGATGTTGTTTTACCCTATCAGAGCCCCTATTCACTTCCTTTCCTATAAAATTGAGGAAAAATCCGCCAACAGTCGAATGAGCTATTTTTTTTAAGACCATTTTAGACCCTCTGAAACACATTTCAAAATACTTTTTTTATCCTTCAAACGCTTTAAAATATTTTTTTCTCACCTTAAATCTTTAAAATGTGTCCTCTAATTTCGATGTTGAAAAAATTTAAACTACATCATTTTGATTAATTTCTTGTTATAGAAACTGCTAAATAATAATACTAGACCATCCATAAAGCAATAAACCATTCCAAATTTTTTTGTAAACAGTTTATTTTCCTAATTTACGACCAGGTTAAAGTTCGTCAAAATGATCTATTTTTCATGAACCCAATGACAATTGACATTGCAGTCTGACATGTGTCTAAAAGAAATACAATGTTGCCATATCAATTATTACATAGCAATGGTCATTTGTACCTATGCCCTGTGTTGTACCAGGCCAACCAATTGACTTTAGTATCAGAAAAATTATTTAAAACTAACGATTTAAAAAATACCCATATCAAGATCTTCTTCCTCATCCTCATCGGCAGAGTACTCTACGACGTCAATATTGATATACAATAAGAAGACGAAGCAACGACTTCGGCTCCACCAGAAAATTTTAACCCATATCTGGCTACGCCGACCGACATATACTCCAACGGCCTGGACACAGCTCATATTGAAAAAAAAAAATTTTTTACAAATATTAGATAAGTACCGACATGCCGACGCACAATCATCATGAAATGAAATAAAAAGACGGATGTGTGTGATTACTACAAATGTTTTCACTTCGGGATCCAAATTCACCTGCTGGCAGGACACTATGTAATTTTCAGCCAACTTTCATCAACCGAATTATTTCCTGACATATATTTTCTTACTCGATTTGGCAACACCGCATTTATAGAAACTAGAAATGTCAATTGTCATTGAAAATAATTTACTGTCTATTTGTTTTTCTAACAAACTAAAAATGAAAAATAAAATTTGAACGTTTATGAAACAATTTGAACGTTTATGAAAAAATTTGGTATGGTTTATTGCTCTATGAATGGTCTAATATTGATATTTAGCCGTTTCTACAACAAGAAATTAGTGAAAATGGTTTATTTCACATTTGTTTTATGATGGAGACCCGACAACAAATTTTAAGGATTTAAGGTAAAAAAAAAATTTTAGTATCAGCGGACCCAAAATTGTTATATAGTGTGTTTCAAAGTGTCTAGAAACTTTCTATAATATTTCAATAGTTATATCCGCCGTTCGAGTGTCGGCGTATAATAGCAAAATGGATGATAATCGGCATATTTTTATTTAAAAAATTATTTGTATTTTTATTATTAATTTGCACAAGATATAGAACTTGAGGTTTTTTCTTTAAAATAGCAATACCTACAAGTACGTATGCTTGGTTTTCCATAATCGAAAAGAGCTCAAACCTCGGCCTAAACTAGACAATTACCATTTTTTAAATTAAAGTAGAAAAACTGTAAGTTTAAAAAATCGTTTAAGACTGAAAATAATGATTATATAGGAATTATTTACATATGGATATGTAAGTGTGTGTGTAAACGACAATTTTTTATTATAAAAAATCACGGGGTGAGCCAAAAAGTTGGTTCAGTGAGTGTCGCTATTTTACAATATACCTTTGGTATCATAAAAGTACATCACATCAACAAAATTGTATTTTTCGGACATTACATGCAGCGTACAGGGAGAGGAAAAAGATATATAAAGTTGAAATATACAAAAATAGTCATCTTATCAGTAACAATTTTTTTCTACACCTACATGGACATTAGCTTATCTACGCACAGATTACAAAACGAAAAAGTATGCTATTGCCTTCAAATGAACGAATATATTTCATATTCATTCTAGGTAGTGAGAAAACTGCAAAAAAATGAAACCCACCAATCACCGTTCATATTTTGATCAACTGACTGCTATTATTCTTAAAATTTTAAATAAGTAATAGTTCTGTCAAACTAATTGTCAGTATATTTTTTAGTTATTGAGATTAAACATACATTAAAATAGGTTATTCTTGTGTAGAATCGATAAATAATAGCATTTATGTTTTTATTTTGTCTATAATTACAAATAATTTGTTAATTTAAATAAAACTATATGAAGTCAATTTAATTACGAGTATTAAAATATCAAAAATAAAAGGATAGGTGGTCCTGTGGTTAGCGTTCGATTCTCGGATGAGGAAAAATGAAATGAACTTTTTTTTTTCGTTTATTTTATTTTAAAAATTATTAAAAGTCATAAATTATTTTAAAAGTAGTTATTTTGTCTTAATGACCTAAAATATTTTTTTTATTTGTAAATTTTCGTTAGTGGGTCATAAAAAAATGTACAACTCGAGTGGATTGTCCACATCGCACTCAGACGATTCGTGCGATATGGCCATCATATCCACTCTTGTTGCACAAACTACTATTTTTTAATCTCTCTAAATGGCAATTTTTGTAGATTTCATTTTTATATAACTTTTTACTCTCCGTGTATGTGATATCTGGAGAATATATTTCTGTTGATATGATGTTTTACTTGTTTGGGACACATTATGATATACAGGGTATATTGTAAAATAGCGACATTTACTGAACTCACTTCTTAACTCGCCCTGTATACGTATACACACATATAACATATAAAAGCATTAAACGATTTTTTAAAATATGCAATTTTCTACTTTAATTTAAAAATAACTCATCCTATATAGTTGTTTTCCAAAAGGTTGGTATTATATTTTGGTAATCATAAATAGAGAGTCAAACCATAACTTTTAATATGTATGAATATCAGCAAAATTACAACGTGTTAAAGTTTAACACCCTGTATCTCAAAAACAAGTCATATAAGAACTTTGTTCACGTGGACACTTTTAATTAGGAGGTCAAAAACTGCAACATACTCTTAATATAAAATTCAGCAGATTCGACCGAAAACCATTTGCCATAACGGTATTGAAGTCCTTTAATGTTAGGAAAGGAAAGTAGATGATACAATTTGATAAATTGAACGAATGTCCTGCAGATCTAGTACCTATATCAAATCATAGACGTGAGTACCTCTACCTACCTACAAGTTTTTATAATGTAAAATTCGTTAAATAAAACTTTGTAATTATTCCAAAGGCATAGAAAATATGAATGAGAGGAAAAGGGGACGATACCCCTTTGCACGCCACTGGTATAAATTAAAAATATATTTTACATCAGAAATAATTATGCTTTAGCTATTTAATAACTGACCTCAAAGTTATTCAAAATAAACCTATTTTTTTAAACTTTAACACGCAATAGGCAGGTATAATGAAAT